AGAGAGAAACATCGATCAGCTGCCTCTTGCACACCCTGTGCCCGCAACCCAGGTACATGCCCTTGACCGGAATCGAACCCAGGACCTCTCAGTCCGCAGGCTGACGCTCTAGCCACTGAGCCAAACCGGTTTCGGCCAGATCTGAGTTCTTAATAGCATTCCCCACTAAAAAGGATGAGAGTTCCCTGGGAAAATGGCAGATTCCAGGGCTGGGAGGGCATAAAATGAGTGTGAAGTAACTTGTTGTGCTAAAAAATAAGGACGTGCTTGAAGAATGATGAGACCATAAGACAAAGCCCCAGAAGGCAGGCTGCAGAGATTTTTATCAGCCAAAACTGGGACATTTTGAGCATCAAAACAATAGTGGTGGATTATAACCTATTGAATCAAACAGGGATTCATGAGTACATGAAAATATGAGTGCTGACTAAATGTGGAGAATGTGCTAGACTTGGAAAATTGTCCTTTTGCAACCAACAAATTAAGAATGGTTTAAGAGAATCAATAGATTCTAAATTGGCATAGAAGAAGGGGCACACAACATTTGCAAGGGGAAATATAATAATTATACAGTAAAGAAATTGACAACAATAAAAAGTGCCTCTACCAACAAAGGACAAAAGAATGCCAGGTGCTTCTGCATATAATAGCATGAGAAATACAAAGATCACTTAAGCAATATTCTGGATGCAAAATATACAATCTAAAGCTAATCACGGGGAGCCACCAGAGAAACTCAAAATGAATAAGATTCTCTTACACTGTGAATGTACAAATTGCCACTGAATTTTTCACTTTCAAATGATTATTATGTAAATTTCACTGCAGTCAAAAAGTTTTAAGTAGAAAAAAAGACCACTTTTACAAAGAAAGGCTGAAGAATTGTCTCATATTAAAAGAGACTAAAGAGATACGACAACTATATGCAGTATGTAATCCTAGACTGGAAGGAAAAACTGTTGTAAGAAACATTATTCGGTCAATTGACAAAACTGGCATAAATTAAGAAATATTCTGTCAATCAAGTTGACTGAAGTTGGTTTCTATAATGTGTTTATGGAAGAGAACATCCTTATTCTTAGGAAATACACTGCAGAGGTACAAGGCCACGATGCATGCAACTTTATCTTATGTTTAAAAGATGTATGCATGTGCATAAACCATGGACACAAACAATGGTGCGGTGAATGCCTGGTGTGGTATGAAAACCAGATGGAGAGGGAGTAATGGGGAAGTGGGGGGAAATGGGGGACATCTGTAACACTTTCAATAATAGAGAGAGGCTCCAGCCACCGCCACTGCACCCGAGCTGTGAGCCGGGCTTCTAGCTGAGCGGCGCTCCCCCTGTGGGAGCACACTGACCACCAGGGGGAAGCTTGTGTTGAGCCTCTGCCCTCTGATGGTCAGTGCGTGTCACACCAGTCGTTCCGCCATTCAGTCAATTTGCATATTAGGGTTTTATTATACAGGATTTTTTAATGCAGCCTTCTTAATAAAACTACCTTGTTAAAGAAAATAAATAAATACATAAAATGCAGCCTTCCTTCTATACATTCAGCTAGCAGTACTCACATTAATAAGTTCCAGATCACACTGGCCACGCTCATAAGCAACACAGGCTAGATGTGGATCTCTCTTCTCACAATATTTTCCAACAACACGACTGTCATAATAAGGATTTTCACGAAGAAATCTCTCTGGGTTGTTATTACTGTCTATGTAGATTTTGGCTAACGCATTGTGAGTAGCAGGCTCCTCACAGCCCTCATGAATCCTGGCCTCTAGCCAAGGCAGAAGCAGTTTCAACCTAATAAAAACAAACCAAAAAACAACACATGTACACATATTGTATTATAAATAACAAACTCTTAACATGCTAACTACTTAAATAATGTGCTTTCCCATACATTATTTTGTATTCTCAACAACCCTATTATAAATTGGGAAATAAGACTCAGAATGTGGTTAAATGATTTGCCCAAGATTACACAGAAAGTATATAAAACTATCTTTATACTTTCTCAGACCTACCTGTTATATATATAGATAGGATATAGAAAGAAGAGATTATAGATTCGTAAACTGTTCTTTTTTATACTGGACAAAATATCTAGACTTTGGATAAATTTTGTTCAGGAGTGGACTGGGACGTGGTATGAGAAAATAGGCCAGATTATCTGAGGTTTCTTTCAATTTTAACACAATTAACATACATTACCTACAACCAGAGGAGGCAGCATCCTAAATATACACTGGGAACAAAATGTAGTATCTTTAGGAGCTCTGGGCTTAATAATTCTAGCAGTTGTATGATCACTCCACCAGAGGTCATGGTTTCACTAAGCTATAGTTCATGTTTCAATGGTTTAAATATCAAAAGCACCCAGAGAAAGAGCAGTAGGCCATTATTTTAGCTATCAAATTCATGTAAATACTTACATTACCATGTTCTCCTTTGAATATTAAGATTCAAATAAAGCCCTAACTGGTTTGACTCAGTGGATAGAGCGTCGGCCTGCAGACTCAAGGGTCCCAGGTTCGATTCCGGTCAAGGGCATGTACCTTGGTTGCGGGCACATACCCAGTAGGGAGTGTGCAGGAGGCAGCTGATCGATGTTTCTCTCTCATCGATGCTTCTAACTATCTCTCTCCCTTCCTCTCTGTAAAAAATCAATAGAATATATTAAAAAAAAAAGATTCAAATAAAAAAACCCACAATTTAACCCAGAGTTAATAGGGAACTCTCTTCTCATTATTCTTGAGAATAATTTATTTAAGAACTAGTTAGCAAATACAGGGTGTCACACCTAACTAAAAAGAGGCTTTTCACATAGTTGACATTAAAAGCATATACAAAGTCAACCCATGTAGCTCTAATTATAAATATGCAAAACAAGTGATTAGCCAGGTTAACAGATTTTTTGTATGATAGCTGTAACATTTCAGAAAACAGCTTTTCTTTAAATCAACGCTACAGTTAGCCTATCACTTCTAAATCGGGTGTTTCCAGGGAATCACGGTCCATTTATTTCTAGCTTTTCAACAACTGACAGGTTACATTTTTATCCGTTACCATGCTGAGAGAGACTTATTTATCCCAGTTATGGAGGTTAAATGGTACTACACCTGTTTCTTTTTTCAACCTCAGCAACAAGCTCATCAGTAGAAAATTGACCTCTTACAACAAGAATCAAGTTTTTAATGACATCTTCAGAGCAATCAACATCAAGTAATCCTCCAATAACCACAGGAAGTCGACTTGGATTCACCTAAGGGTTAAAAAAATTTGAAGAATGTCTATTTAATACGATAAACAAAAATGAGCTTTAAAGAAGAAACATTTCCCCCTCTTTTAGCTCAGTTATAAACAGAGTCTAACTTTGCAACTAGACCAAGGAATTTAGCAGGAAGTCTGGCTTGTTAATTAATTATCTCAGCATTACTCCAAAGGATAAATAAGTCCAAAAATGCTAAAAGTCACAGAATTTTTCACACATTAAGTCCACTATAGCAAAACTGTCTGCCTGTTTTTAGAGTTAGAAGGTACAGTTTTTTATATCTATATTTAAGATGGTTTTAAAACGGTGCTTTGAAGTCTATGGCCTCTACACAGATACTTCAGGTGCTACCAAGTACGTAGGGCATTGGCCATCCAACTTTTTCAACTACAGCACTTCTGATGTTTTATATACTTGGCATGCATGTAAAATTTTAATCAAAGAAGGATTTGGGCAGGAAAACATTATAAGAGCCACTGTAGCAGACCACAGTTTCAAAAGGGTGAACATTTCCAGAGTGAAATATAAAATCTACAATAAGATTTAATTTTTAAGTAATCTAAGTGTTACTTACCTTTTGTACATATATCTCTATATACTTTTGAAGATTATTTCTATATAAGTACAGCACCAAATCATGGACAAAGTCAAATCGATCACACACAATGATGAGTGGTAATTGATCTGTTAGCTTCGCTTCCTGGAGGGAAAAAGAACGAAAAGAAACCTTAATTTTCTCCTGTGAGATATCAAATCTATGTAAAATATGACAACCTCTGTTTTATACTGGTGGGAGAGGATCATATAAACTTGGCTGTTCTCTTAAAAGAAATCCCCAATTGCTGGAGAGAGCACACCATTTTCAGTAATTTTTTATTAATCAATACTTAGATCCATAGCAAAATACCAGGTCCTTCCCACACACACCCTTGACCAAAAAAAGTAACAAATTAAGATTAGTGAGCCACTACTGGCATTCGGGATATAAAATCATCACAGCAGGACTTTCATTAATAATTAATAAAATAGAATTGAGTTATTTAAGACCAATAGTCACATTGTCAAAATGATGACATAAGTGGATTGTACTTGTTTCAAACTAATGACTTATTTTCACTCCTCCCTAATTCTATTCTATATGGCCAGCCTCTAACATTCTGTTACAATAAAGCTTACAAGGAGCAGCATGATGGTGACAGCCATGAATTAAACACACCACATGTTGCTATAATAAGAAAAAAGTTAAGAAAAAGAAAGCACATAAAGAAAGACATCTTTAAATTGCCTACTGCTTTTACCATTACAAATACCAAGCTATAATCCTACTTTATAGACTGACATAGATGTTACAGACAGGAGGTAAGACCTATATTGGGCATTTACCTGAAACATGTCCTGTTACATTCCACAGACATAAGGTAAAGCACAAAAAACAACAGTTTCCATCAGGAATTCATTTACACACAGTGAAACATTGCTCAATATATGATCTGTCTATAAAAATCTGCTAAGGAAGTAGAACTAAGCAGGATAGGACTTTCCCCAATGACAGCCACTAAGAACAACATCATTTGCAAGGTTAGAACAAAATAGTACCTAAGTTTAGAACATATCAGTCACCCAATTATAAATAATTTGAAGATTAGTCTACGAAGTGTTCAAAGAACACAAAACTAAATCTGGGAGTCATGAGAAATCCTGAATAAAAGATCAAAAAGGCATGCATGGGTCTGGATTTATGATAGGCCTGTACCCCTGGGTCTCTCATAGTGCCCCATGCCAGAGCAAACTGTGGCCTTGAATCATTGCCTGGCCTCTGCCCGTAGCTGCGGGCACTGAAGCAGGTTACACAGTGGAGGGCAGGGGCGGGGAGAGAGGAAAGGCTGTAAATCTGAAGTGGAAGTCAGCTGCAGATTTTTCACACATTAAGGAAAGTCTAAAGCAGGGGTGGGGAACATCCAGCTCTTGGGCCATATAAGGCCTGAGAAATCATTTGATCTGGCCCTGCCAAGGCATTAGGGGTGCGTTAATTAAATGTTTGACCAAATATAGCAGGCTAATTTTAAGTTGATAATTTTGTATGGCCCTTGAATGATATTATAAATATTCAAATGGCCCTTGGCAGAAAAAAGGTTCCCCACCCCTGGTCTAAAGCAAGTATTTAGCAGCATGGAAACTGTACTAAACAGCTGCTATAATCATCTCTAGAAAGAGTGTTTGATCTACCTATGTAAACATTTCAATAAGCCAAGTTTTTCCTATTAAATAAACATCAAAAAGTTAGTGGGTCATACTAATCTTTATTCTGTTTAATATAAAAATAAAATAGTATGTACTTTTATTTTATCATTTAGGGAGAAAACATACTTGCAAGTAATCTAAGATTACTTAGGTATTCTATTCTCATGTGTGTTTAAGATTTCTGCTGGCAAAGACAAACATACTGTATCTACGTCCCCCCGCCCTCCCCCCAAATTTAAGATTGAAAGAGTAGACAAAAATCTAGAATGAATAGTTTCTTGATTGCCTAAATTTGCACATGTAAGTAATGCTATTAATATTTTAAATTATTTAAAAGTTTACCCTGAAGCTATTATGGTCAAAGATTTTAGGTAAAAATTAAAATTATATAAACATTCAGGGGTTGTCATAAACATGAAGTTATTCATTTAACTAATATTTACTGAGTACCCAGGTACCAGACACTGTACTTATGCACTGGAGATATAGCAGGGAACAAAGTAAGCATTCCCTCAAAGGATGGGAAGAGACAATACTGTTAAGTGTTATTTTAAAAAAGTAGAATATGGGGGTGGTAAGGATAGGCCATCTGAGACATCCTTTCTCATGACATCTGATGAGAAATCTTAAAGAACGTTAGGACTTAGGTCATAAAGGTCAGAGAAAAGCAGAAAGGGGTACAAGCAAAGACCCTGGAGCAGGAGAGGGCTTAGGGGGTTCCAGAAATAGCAAGCAGGTCAGTGTCGGTCAAGCAAAACCAGGAAAGGAAAATTGACAGAAGATTAAAGGTAGCAAGAAGCAGATCATGGATCTGGAGAACAGTTTCATGCTTTCTATGGAGATCTATAATTCCACAAAAACTTAGGTCATGAGCCAAATGATGCTAATGTCATCATTTCTTCCTGCTAACAGGTTACTGTACACGGGAACCATATTCTATCAATCTCTGTATTTCTGGTGGTTAGCATATAATTGGCATTGGAATGTTCAAGATCAGATTCAGAGAAGTATTTTTCTTATTACCACAGAGTTTACATACAACATCAATCAATTATCATATAGCTAGTACCTCCAAAGCTTTATAACAGTGATGGTGAGATGTAGCATTGCAGCTACCATACTACTGGTCAATAAGGAAAGGGAATAAAATGATTTAGTATGTTCATTCTCACTACTGGGATGAAAGGCTACATACAATAGTAGCATCGTAGTATTGAGTTCCTATCTCAGATTATTTAAAGATAAGACACCAGGCTTACCTCTAACTCAGCCTGGAATTAGAATTCATTCAAGGAGTCAGGAATAACTCAAAACCAAAAAGAAACAAAACTTGAATTATTCTATTTCACATGTAGGCTAGCACCACCTTATTTCCAAGGCCCACCAACACAGCTTATTTACAGCTGTTATAACCTGAACACCTATGGCCTACGAAGGTAGTTGAGAAAAACAACTTGTGGCTGAAGAAACCAAGGATGAGTTAATTTGCTTGAGGTAACAGGTAGACATATACTGAATGAACAAATAATAGTTAGTAATAGAAAGAAATGGAATTTGAACCAGGTCTGACTGGTTCAAAGGCCTGTAATATCCACATCCATGCCCCTACTCTATCAGGCTTGCACCCAATTCACAAATGTGGAATGGAAATCCTCGTCTAATTAGATCTCATGGGCTAAGCAACTTACGGGTGCACCATCCTAATATTCAGATAAGTTTTCTCAAGTTCAAGAACAAAATAATTTAGTCCTGCTTTACAAATATATATATATTTCATAAGTCAAATATTAATACCCAATGCTAAAGAAATTACGACTAAAGCATAAAAGCTGTGAGTTTAATGAAAACAAAAAGAAATCAGTTTAAGAACCTGGTAGTATTTTTAAAAAAGGAAACAGTACTGACAATCAAATGAGGAACTGTACCAGTGTTAGGGGTACACTAGCCAAGCATAAAGCATCAATCTTTCTTATTTGGAGTTTTTTTGACAACAGAAAGTCTTGAGTTCAAACACATCATACTAGCCAGGCCATTCAGACTATTTATAATGGTCAAGACATTAAATTATAAAGCTGTATTTTTGGGGGATAGTTTATTTTTTCATCTATAATATAGGGTTACTTCAGCACTTTGACTATCTCAGTACACTGAAACCCCTAAGGTTTGGGGGTATTTAATCTAGAGCCCAATCAGCTAATACAACTGTAGATTAAAAATGATGACAGTGTAGGCGTAGGAAAAGCCTATTTTTTCTACTAAATTATTCATTAAGCATTTTGGTTTTAGTTTCAATCTAAAATTCTTCCAAAAGAAAAAAAAAAATGTTTAAGAACTTCATATTCAGTTTCTGGAGTCATTTCATATATATAAATAAATGTTAAGGGGGATGAACTGAATGTTCTATAGTTTTCCTGAATTTTAGAGGCAACTAACAATATTAAAGTTTTATTTTCCTGTCAAAGTAACTAGTAGGGATGAGAATAAAGGTAAAGTTAAGTTAAACAAAATTAACTGCCCTTAGGTATATTTTAAAGAGCTAAGAATCTTTAAACCATTACTTTTCACTTCAACATAGGCAGTTCTTACTTCTCTAGAACTAAATTCCGTGCCACAAATCTGAGGATTTTTGTTTAATCTTACCCTCAATTTATGAATTATACATGATTAATATTTCATTTCCAGAGTCAGGCTAATTTGATGACAGAAATAAACCTGCTAGAGGCTCCTTAAAATGACACTGAAGGCAAAATGATTTTAATATTCAAAAGACGACTAAATGAAATTCTAAAATGACACTGAACATCTAAACCACTTTCAAAGTGAAAGAAATGACATTTCTTTAAGGTAGTGCATTTTTTCCCTTCTTTTAAATAGATGGGGCCATTCTAAATATTACTTACCAATTTCCTTCCCTATTTCAAAGGAAACCACGAAGTATTAAATTTGGAAGAAATAATTCAGCACACAATTTCAGAATGTTAAGAATTTTACATTTAGGGGAACTTTTTTTTTTTTTAACTAACCAAACCCTTGCAGAACTGCTGATCTTCAACCCAACCAGAAACTGCATTACTCAAAATCACTTACCTTGAGAAAATTCTTGACTCGCTCAGGATCATAGCAGTTGCTTTCTCGGCAGATTCTTTCTACTTCTTTGATCTGCCCAGTCTTGCAAGCTGCCTGAATATATTTAAAGTGCACATCTGGATCCTGACTAAAGTTGACAATGGATCCCAGAAAATAAAAGAGACCTTAAAAATCAGATAATTGAAATTAAGTACAGGTGCACTTTTGAGAATAACAGAACTGTATAATATTTAAGCAATTAAAAAACATGTTATTTCAATTACACCTCAATTTTACAAAAAATAAAAAAACACATACTCAATACTCCCAAATAAAAACTGGTTGCTCAAAAAACTCCATAAGGATACTAATTAATCTAGTAATTAGTTCAATAAATGGATTTGCACCTTAATCTTGAAAAAAAAACCCAGAAAATTCAGCCTGGCCAGCGTGGCTCAGTGGTTGAGCGTCGACCTATGAACCAGGAGGTAATGGCTCGATTTCTGGTTAGGGTACATGCGTAGGCTGTGGGCTTGATCCCCAGTGTGGGGTGTGCAGGAGGCAGCCCATCAGTGATTCTCTCTCATCATTGATGTTTCTATCTCTCTCTCCCTTTCCTTTCCTTTCCTTTCTGAAATTAATAAAAATATATTAAAAAAAAAACAACACAAAAAATTCAACCCAATGTTTTCTAATAATAGAGAAATAGGAGGCAGCTACTTAATACCAAACTAATTATCACATTATATTCCATATGATAAGTTTTAAATGAAGACCCTTATAGCAGATGTTTTTCCATATGCAGTTAATAGGAAACATACAAAAGTAGTTTGAAGAGAATTTAATGCAGTGCTGTCAATACAGTAGCCACTAACCACATGTGGCTATCAAGCACTTGAAATGTGGCTAGTGTGACTAAAGAACTAAATTTTTAATTATATTCAGTTTTAATTACTTCAAATTTACATAGCCGTATGTGGCTAGTGGTTACTGTACTGAATGAAATAGTATCAGTTTAGTGCATAGCTAACATACAGAAACAGAAAACTAGTAGAAATCTTATTCCTTCTGTCTAGAATAATACTATAAAAAGAGGAAGAAAAGGTAACTGGGACCAGAAGTTTGGCTAATGAACCCAAGAGCCACCCAACAGTGATTACATTAGTACTCAGTACAGCAGTGGTTTTCAACTGGGGGTGATTTTCTTCCCAGGAGACATTTGGCAATGTCTGGAGACATTTTTGTGTCACAACTGGTGGCGCTGAACCACACTGGCACCTAGTGAGTAGAAGCCAGAGATGTTGCTAAGAATCCTGCATACACCCCTCCCACCAACAAGTTATCCAGCCCAAAATGTCTGAAGTGCTGAAGTTACACAAACCTGCTGTATAATGACAGGTCACAAAATATCCTTGGTTAGAAACATTTGCCATTATAAGAGTCAGACAACATAGCATGAAAATTTATTATACCTGATCACTAGTCACTAGTATTTTTGTCTTACACAATTATGACAAAGCCACTATATATGTTTGTATCTTAAAATTC